CTGTTTCTTCATGACCCTGTGCCTGGGCAGCGCTAGCATATGTGCTTTTGTGTCTTCTTGTACTAAATGCACTGTGCATTTCTTTGTAGTTTATAAGGTTATTTTCTTGTAAAACTCAATGCCCTTTAAACCAGGTAGTTCAACATAGGTATGAATATGGCTGGAAAGAAGGCTCCTGGTTTATTTATCAGTGTCACATGGACTCGGAGAAGAGCCCACTTTGAGCCTGGTCTTAGACTCAGAACCCAGTGAGGGCCCATCCTAGAGGCCAGCTGATATTTAGAGGCTGGCAGCGTCTTATGTAGATGACTAGACAGCTTGTCATCCTGGGCCACAGAAGTAACAACTGTGGTTTGGCCAGTCTTCCTATTCTCCATTCTTTCCATCCCATGTTATATGGAATGCACGCAATGACATTTAATTACTTCAATCCCTGTCTTAAAGGAAAAAGACACAGTATTCTGAGGTATAGTAATTTAGAGGTTTACTCAGGAATTGTCTTTGTACACTTAGTAGCTGTAAAGATCTCTCTAGTATTTTTGCAAAATTAATTTCAAGTACATTTTTGTCAGAGTATCCAAGGGTCTCAACAGGCTGCATAGAATGCGTGCTATAGGTAAGGCTATCATCCTGGAGACTTTTTCCAAATCAAAAAATTTGGCAGGAACCAGCCCTTGTTTGCACTACAGACTCAATAAAATGCTCAACTTCTTTAGGCATGTCAGCTGTTCTTGCTCACAAAATAAGTGGTATGTGCTTGTTACTACTGTGCTGCTTAAACATAGACTCGGGGAAGTAGGTATTCTTGCTTTTGCCACTGTTTAATTGTGGACTGGGAAAGAGGCAGTCGATTCATCCTCCTAAGGAAGGTGGCCGGCCAAGGGACATGGAGGACACACAGGGACCGTCATGTGGCATTGTGGTACAATGCTGTGTGGCACAATAGCCACATGTGGCTACTGAGCACTTGGAAAATGGCTGGTCCAAGCTGAGATGTGCTATATATATAGCACCTGCTTACTTCCTTTGTTTCTCATTCACACCATCTTGCTAGGACTTCATATAAAAAAGATTATAAAATATCTCATTAATAATTACATTGATTTTATGTTGATGTGATACTATTTGAAGTTGATTTGGTTAAATAAAATATATTACTAAAATTAATTACACTCATTTTTTAGTTTTTAAAATGTGAGTACAGTGGAACCTTGGTTCTCAAACTTAATTTGTTCCAGAAGACTTTTTTATTTATTTAATTTTTTAAATTCTCACCTGAAGATATTTTTCCCATTGATTTTCAGACAAAGTGGAGGGAAGGATGGTGGGTGGTGGGGGTGTGGGGAGAGAAACATTGATGTGAGAAAGACATATCACTTGATTGCTTCCTGCACATCCTGGGGCCTGGAATTGAACCCACAACCAAGGTATGTGCCTTTGAGAATCGAACCCATGACCCTTTGGTCTGAGAGCCGATGTTCTGACCACTGGGCAATTGGCCAGGGCCAGAAGGCTCTTTGAGAAGTGATTCATTCCAAAACCAAATCATTTTTTTCCATTAGATTCACAGCACAATTTCCTGAGATATTAACAATGCAAGGTTAGCGGTAAACTGACTCATATTTGCTCATTCTCTTTTGTCTCTTGTCAGATCAAGAACCGAAGTTTTGTTCAACAACCATGACATTATTTTCTGTGAACAACTTGGTTAAGAACTTAATTATTTGAGATGGGAGATATTCAAGAACTGAGGTTTGACTGTATTAAAAAATTTAAAATTACAAGTGTAGTTCTCCTTATACTGGACCTCTTGCCACTTTTGCTGAGGGTTCTATGAGCTGGCACGGTCCTCCTTTGGTGTGCGAATGGCTTGCCAATCCTGGTGGTGGCTCTTTTGCCATTTTCTTAAGGGATGTTTTCGATTTCTCTCAGTGTCCTGGTATGTGACCTCTGAGTCACTGCGCTGTGACCTCTGGTATCTGTGTGACAGTCATGTCAGGGTTACACCAGGAGATGCATCCTGAGAGCTTAGAAAACATACAAGTCACCCAGCACCCTCAGCCTAGTTTGTGAAGCAGAGTGACTTTGAGAATTAACAGAGAAAGGACAGTTAGGGCACACCTCCAGGCCCCATAATTCAGCCACACCTCAAGGCCTCATAACTCAGCCTTATTTAGGATGACTAGGGAATGAGGAAACAGAAAACAAATCTGTGTACAGATTTAATTTTCTGTGGGAGTGGTTGTTGGGGTGGAAGGAAGTAGAAGGAAGGTGCCACCAGAGTCGCTCACAGTGCTTGTTTGACAGGCCTGGTCTGGATGTGGATTTCGGTGGACTCTTCTCTAAGTTCTATATCCTTATCTGCACTGAAGGGAACCATGGTTGCCTGCTGAGAGCCCGTTTCCACCCTCAGCACAGCACAGCACAGCACAGCACAAGGGTGGCTGTTTACAGTCCGGGGCCTAACGAACAGTTCAACTGGAAATGAACTTGACCACACTTTGATATGATTTACAACGACAGAGGGTGCAGAGAGAGCTGTAGGGGTCTGTGCAGCCTGATCACTCAGCTCAGGAGAAAGACCTCGGGGTGTCAAACCAGCTGCACATGTGCAGCAAAGGCCAGTCATCCAGGGAACATTTTGTGCAAGTATCTGGTAGAGCAGTCTTCTTATCACACTAACAATGGAGGTAAGTTAGGAGGGAATAGTTGACCAGAGAAAACGTCATGAAAGGACCTGCATGACATGGTGGTAAGCTCTGATTTTTTTAGTACGCTGTTTGGGCCTCAGCCCTGTGAGATCATTCGAATGAGAGATGGAAAAGACCTCCTGTATTAGGTCATCCAGCCCAGCCCCTCCAGAGCCGGCTGACCCTTTGGTATACTTTCCAGAGCACCGTCCAGTTTTTCAAGTGATTCAACTGATGGAGTTTCCACCAGCTCCAAGAGGGTGCAGAAAGGTAGTGCCTGGGCTGAATGGCCCAGTTATGATCTGCTGGTGTCTCAGGATGAAGATTCAGTAATGATGCTGTGTTTGGAGAAAGATATGGGGTAGTCCTGCCTCTGCCACCAACCTGTATGTGACTGCATGGATGACCTCAGCTCTGCTCGTCCCTGTCCCTTCCACAAATGGGCTGGCACTGGGCACCTGCAGGCCAAGCATACTGAGGCTTGGCTGAAGTACCACACATAGCACCTCACAGTTTTCACATTGGTAACCTCTTTGGAGCCTCATCATTCCTGGCTGATCTTATTATCCTTCTGGCCATCATCCTGCCTTGACTCTGTTTCTTGTTAAGCAGAGGAAGTAGTCCTCTCAGGCAGTGGGTGGAGGCCAGGTGATCAGGTATTTCTTGTGATTCTAAGCGTAGAGCTGTAGTGTGACAGCACAGGTACCATCCCCACCTCCTGACACTATATGGGGCCATTCACTCTGCTCCCCTGGGGGTAGCATTTGTCCTGGACCACCTGGTGGGACCTGGGGCTGTTGTCATTGTGGGGCATGATGTATTATCAACATACTAGAGGCCCAGTGCACAACATTCATGCACTGGGGTGGGGGTGGGGGGCCCCTTGGTGCATCTCCCCCGAGGGGCCCTTAGGGCTGCCGCAGAGGCAGGGCTCCCACCACCACCACCACGGTGCTTGCCAGCTGTGAGCCCCGGCTTTTGGCTGAGCAGCGCTCCCCCTGTGGGAGTGCACTGACCACCAGGGGGGCAGCTCCAGCATTGAGCGTCTGCCCCCTGGTGGTCAGTGCACATCATAGCAGCCAGTCGTTCTGCTGTTTAGTTGATTTGCATATTAGGGTTTTATTCTGTAGGATTGGACTTGGGGTCTTTTGGGGTGGTCATTGAGGCTGATAACTGCTGACATCCATCCCTATGTGACATGGCATTTGATCCCCTGGGACAAGCAAGGCTCCGCAGTCTCTCATACTGCTATTCTGTGTTCCTGCTGCTTGGCCTAACCAGTGATTGAAAGTTTCCCTAAAAGAGGCATTAACATTTATAGCAAGTAGTTGGTCATTATAATTTCTCTTAAAACCATTCCTTTTGTCAGCTTGAGAATATTAAATGTTTCAACCCAGACTCAGTAAGAATATAGTTAAAGTACATTTCACAATGCAGTTTGTCTCAATAGACTTGTGATAAAACGGCCACTCTTAATGGTATGAAGGCTGACATGCATGAGTCACAAGTAGGGGAGGGCCTTCAGTTCAGCCTCCACCCTGTGGGCGCCCACCAGCCTCCCCTGTGGTATCACTGTGGTTTGTGGCATTTCTGTGCCCTCTCTGTATCCTCACCCTGGTCCCTTCTTTACCTCCTAGAGCCCCAGACCCTGTGCTTCCTGGTTAGTTCCCTTGTTTCTCAGTTTCTCAGGCTCAGGGCAT